TAGTATGGCACCGTCTTACGAATTCTATATGGAAGTAAACACGACCAATCCCGAAAACGGTACAACGACCAATGACAATAGTTGGCACTTGTCCTTACCGATTTGGATCGAAACGGAATTACTCGTGGAAGGTGAAAGTCGACCCAAAGAAATCTATTACAATCCTTCCAATTACACTGGAACGAACGTTACGACTGAATCAGAGTTTGGTCCAGCAGTCATTCACAATTATATTATATATAATCAAGGACCATCGGATATACTTGAAGCAGAAGCACTTCTGATATGGCCTGCTCAAACTCTTGCTGGTGAAGAATTATTGTACTTGATTGAGCAACCGGAAATGACCGGACCGATTGCTTGTGAAACGGCAAATGCTAATTATCTGAGTCTCCAGGTAGGTGATAACATTGATAAATTATGTTTGATCATTTAAAATTATATTCATTTAAATCAAATATTATATTCATTTTGTTTCAATTTATATTTGTTAGCTTGATCAACGAAGAAGACCATTACATCAAGGCTATCCAGATCCATCTGGCGTAATCTTGGACGAATCTCATTCAGGCAAAACAATCAATGTACAAAGAGGTTTTGAAACATTACAAATTAATAAATCGAATCACAAGGAAGAGAGCGATGTAAATAGTGGCGATAGTTCGGACATTCAAAAATCACGACACTCCTCATCGTCTTCTACAAATGTTGTTAGTAGCGAAACCAGAAGGATACAACTTACTTCTAACGGAGAACAACCAGGTGTACTAACCACCACGTATACACAGAATAGTTCCGGTATGACGAGTAATAGTAATAATAAACCCGACGGAATATCCGGTGTTAACAGGGCAATTATTTTTCACTCTGACTCCGATGGTTATAGCGGTAGTTCGACGAATATAGGAAGTGGATTACAAACGACCGTTCAAGGAAATAATTTCGACTCGAATTTATCCAACTTGGATGGATCACGTAATAGAAATTTAAATTACAGTAGAAATATTGAAAATCATTGGAGAGAATCTGGTAGGATTGCCTATGGAAATCAAGAAGGTTCCTTTTCTTCAACGGGTATTCCAGTGGTACATGTCGACGAAAGCGAATACGTAAGGCAGTATAAGGAAAGTTTGAAACAACAAGAGCAAGAACGTCGTCAACAGGAACTGGAAACTTTAAGAATTGAAGAAGAGGCACGTTTGAGAAGGGTACAAGAACAGAGACGTTTAGAAGCGTTGGAAAGAGTTGCGGAAGAAGAACGTTTGTTACGTGAGAGAAAACAACAGGAGTATGAACGTTTGCTTGCGCAAAGACGACAGGAGGAAGAACGTAGAGAGGAGGAAGCACGATTGAAACAACAAAAAGAAAATGAAGAAGATTATGATTATGATGACGAGAAAGTTTACGACGATACTTTGGAAAATCATGATACAGAGAAACAATCGGGACTTATAACTGGCGATAGAGAGCATGTTGTTGGTAGCAGCGAAATAGAATTCCGTTTACGAAATATTAGCTCTAATCAAGAATTAGAAAAAGTCCTTGGATCCTTGTCGAAAGAAGCGACCGGTTATCAGTCATATAATAGACAAGGAAAACAATATGTTCAATTTATGGGACGATTTAGAACATCCTCTGACAGAAAGGAGTATATAGAATTTCAGGATGGTTCTATGTTTCCGCTGCAGGATCATAGAGGAGTACAAAGTTATGTTTCCGTATCTACCGAGCCACAAGATAGTCGTTTCTTGAGAATAGAAGGTCAGCTTTTGATTGGGCAGGATGGTAAAGGATATATAGTGTTGAAAGATGGTCGCAGATTTCCTTTACAAGGTTCTTACACTTATACAGAAGAACGTACTTATACTTTAAATGGTGGTCCAGGTATAAAATCTTATAGCAGATCCCGACAAGAAGGATCAAATTCGGAGAAAGATTACGAGACAAGATACAGTTCGCATGTTGACGAGCATAAACGAACGGAGGATAGACAAGTCGATACCAAAGTATATGGAAGAAATCATTTCGATTTAGTTGGTGAAACAGATCCAAATCATTTAAATTCAAGATTTAGACGAGAAAATGATGCATTGACTGTAAAAGAGTTTCGAAAATTCGAAGAACACAATAGACATCGTCGAGAAATCGACAGCAGTTTTCTTCCTTTAGATGAAAATAATCCTACTATTGATCGTCAAAATCCTTGCAATACCACGAAATGTGTTACATTGCGTTGCGTTCTTGGACCTCTGAAGAAGGACCAAGAGATAACAATCGCTGCGAGATATCTCGTTAACATCAGGACCTTGAAGAAAGTTGCGTTTAAGGAGAAAGTTAAGGTCTCAAGTCAATTAATAGCACGCGTTACCAAGCAACCCTTCATCGGTACGCCGGTTGAGCAAGTAGTGAAAAGCCATGAAATTTATACGAACATCGAACCGACTGTTGCTCCGTCCTCTCCAGATGACATTCCACTTTGGATAGTAGTTTTGTCGGCTTGTGCCGGAGCGATAATCTTATTATTACTCATTTATTTACTTCATAAGGTAAGTCAAACTAATGGCAAAAAGGTTAAGAAGTTAATCCTTATAATCATAAAATGAGTTATGATCTTTAATATATATTTTCTCTGTTAACAGTGTGGATTCTTCAAGAGAAATAGACCTTCCGATGCTCCGGAAAGACAACCCTTGAACAGGAATGGTCATTTCCAACAAGGTGACGAACACTTATAAAAAGGACTGCCACTCGTACCGAGTTATTAGACTTTTTTTGCTCTCTCCGATCGAATCTATTCATGTTTCGATCGTGTATTGGAAAACGGCGGAAGAAGTGCCTTAACGGTCTTGATGTCCAGCTAAAAGGAGGAAAAAATGAATCTAGTGGATTTGATTGTCTCGCGAGAAATGTATACACTGTTTGATACATCGAACGATGATAATGCGAGATTCGTTGTTGTTCATACAGCAATACTGCCACTTAATACTCCTTCCAGCTCCTGCAGCAGCTCGATCACGCAAGTTTCTAGTCAGGAGATGTTTTCTTTTTACGTGTAACTTACTTTGAAGCCATACCTCATGGGTCATCAAAAGCGAAAGAAATACAAAGTACTTTTCTTTTTTTTTTCATTGTTCGATTTCCAACTGACTCTATTTTTTTATTTCTATTGTAAAATAGTATTATACAAATATGATCAAAATACAAAAAGAACGAGGGAAAAAAAAAGAAATAAATATCAAGTATTTTAGACGATCGTCGAATTAACATTGAATGTTTTATGAAAGGATGAATTTGCTTTCTGACGGATCTTATTCGCTTCTGTGATCGACACCTATGGGGGTTCCTCGTTACATCTGGGAAGTAGGTTTGACAGTATGCAAATTTTTAATTATTTATTAAATTTATATATATATATATATATATATATATATATATATATATGTATATATATATATATATATGAACATATATATAACATATATATATATGTATGTATGTATGTATGTATGTATGTATACCACGTAACATATACTAGAGCGTCGGAACATATAAGGACTGCAGCCATGTCCCAGATGTATGTGTGTATAATTTTGTAAATTATTAATTATGTTATTATACTTACGTACTCAGAATAATCTACCGCAACAGACTGCGTGTCTGATCGTGAGATAAATAATCAGCGACCGATAAAATACAGAAATTAACTTGTACATACAAAATTAAGACGTAACGTTAAAGAAATATATATATAATGATATTAATTTTAAATGCTTTTCTTCTTTATTCACTGATTGTACCAAATTAATTATCTAATTAAAAGTCTTGTGTTACTTTATAAAAGAAAGTCTACAATATATAAAAAAAAAATATATATATATATATTAGAGATAGACTAATTAAATATATTATGCTAAAAGAAAATATTAGTTTGAACATGTAAACATGATTTAAAAGATTTGAGATGTGTATACGCAATGAAGTACACTAGGTCATTGTAATGATTTCATTGTAATGATCTAGTATCTAGATTTGATCATTTATTTTGTCAATATTTATTCTGTTCAATTATCCTAATTTGTAAACAAAAGACTTGAGAACAATGTCATATCAAACATTATGATTTAATTTTATGTAAGTTATAAAATTTATTTATTTATTTGTTTATAATATGTCATTAACGTTAAAACGGGACACAATATTGCAATAGATTTTGACTTTATTTTCAATATTTTCCATTGATAAAATGTATACAAAAATAATCTATAATGAGTACAATTGTTTTTATTTTTGTAAAATATATCACTATCTCCTGAATGTGTTTGTGTTTCGAAAGTTTCATATAAAAAGATAGAGTCATTAGCCGACGATGTTTCGATCGCCTGGAATAAATAAAGACGCCAAGATCGTTACGAGAACTAAAATTCATCGGAAGAAGTAAAGACTATAAAAAAATACATTAATCATTGTACCCTAAGATGATACAAAAGTATTATGTACATTTTCGGTACATTTAAAAGGAAATAATTACGATCGTGTAAATATTATTCTGTCACAGATATAGTATTATCTGATACTGATTTACTATTTCTGTATACACATTAAAAGTTCGTTCCGAATCAACAGGGATAACGATATTGTCGACATTAGTACAATGACAATTTAAAAGAAACGTCGAACATATGAATTAACGTGAACAAATTTCTGATCTTCGATATGCTAATATGGTATGGAACATTATATACAATTAACTATTGATTATTAACAATTTAGACACAGTCTTTTTGAATTCTAATCAACTGGAAATTTCATAATTTTTAATTATCTAAAGGATTTATAAAATGATCTTTTATAATCAATTTCGATGTAACAAGAATTCGTAACCTTATTGATAACGAATCATGATAAATGACAAATTCCTTTTATTGGTGCAAATTAAACAAAGATTTTTTTCAATCTTAATCTTTGTTTAATACAATTAAACAAAGATCGTTTTCTTGCACCTATTTTTTTTTTTTTTTTTTTTTAAACGAATATCAACTTTATATACCCGTAATTTTAATTTTATCATCTTTAAAAAATTGTTCATATTCGCTCGCATATTCGTTTCTGTAAAGTTAATTTTTTATATCGATGACAGATGGATAATCGATTTAGATGTGAAAAGAAAGGAAAGAAACAAAAGCAAAAAAAAAAACAAAAAAAAAGATAAAAAGAAGAATGACAAAATTGGGTTATCATTTAAATTTAAACTTTGTCAGGCGAATTAATTTTTGAACTATTTACTTGGCCTATTATACACTCAAATGCATTTATCACTTGGACCTCATTATCATTTTCTGATTCAATGTTCTCAGTTTCATAATTACACTCACTAACCTCATATCAGCTATCCGGTACCTGGAATGATGAATAAGGTTTGAATTAATTATGAAGGTAATAAATTTTAAATATTATTACAAATAAGATACTAACTTTCCATTGTAATTGGGTCCCAACGGTATAAAGTTCTTTGAGGTTCTCTGCTAATTTGCCTGAACTTTCCAGTTCTTTGTACTTACGATATAACTCCAGAGCTGATCGTGCATCTTCCGTAGAATCGTGAGTTTCAGATTGTATGGTTTTACCTAAGAAATGCCACGTTAGAAAGCGTAACGATACCATACGATGATGAGGTAGATGAAACAGCCATACTGTATCTACTATTTGCTCTGGAGGCACGACCAAATTAATTACCCTATTATAATAATAAAAGGAAAAAAAAAAGAAAGTCGAAAGATAAACAGATTAGAATTTATAATTAATTATAATAAGATAATAAATATATTTAGATATATGTTGTGACTGATATCGTCGTATATACCTAAAATCATTCTTTAATCCATGACCAACAAATATAATACCATTATCCACTAAAAATCTTAATTTTTGATATGTCGATTTGAGCGTTGTAAGATGTTTACTACTGAAATTGGCATCTAAATCTCCAGGTTGAATTCCACTGAATTTCGTAAGATAATCAACCACTTGTTCTTGTGTGCTAATGTAATCATCTATAAACGGTGTACCTTCGAGTGGACCTTGTCTAAAAATTTTAACTTATACAGCTACAAAACATTTATACATAACATATAAATCATTTTGTTATTCAATTTAATTAATTATATACCCTCGTATACAAGTAATCCTCGCAACAGACATATGACTCGGTTTGATCGTAGACATTTTTCCATCGCTTCGAAGTTCTGATTCCTCTTGATTCAAAGTAACAAATTCAGCGTCAATTCCAACTAATTCTCCTAAAAGAAAAAAAAAAAAAAAAAAAAAAATGTCTTGTCAAGTCGTTCGAACATTAATTATTTTATTTATACGTACCTTTCTTGGGCATTTCATCCGATGAAAGAGGTGTAAACGTGATACCAGTTGTTCCTCCACTACGTGCAATGCATTTGTCTTCCCCGAAGACATCATACGTAAGTGGACTTACGAATGTCGATGGTTCAGGAGCTGGAATTACTGTATAATGAAGAACACATGGAACTTTCCAATCAAGATTAAACCAAACTGCCTCCTGTGGTGTAACTGGAGATATACTGTAATAAAAAATATGTTTCTGAAATATTTCTTTACATGTTAACAGCAAATTTATTATTTATAATATTACTTACCAAAAGTCGTTAAAGATATACCATTGAGAAACCGCACTTCCTGTTGATCGTTTGTGGTAACTCGGACCAACACGTAATAAGGCGACAAGGTTTCTTCTTTCTTCATTATTTTTATCATCCACATAACACACAACCGCACTAAGGCTATATTGAACTTTACTCGTCGAACTAGATATTTGTTCTTCAATATTTACTGTCCCTTTGTTTTCTATCTCTGCACTTCCACTTTCATTTTTATTTTGAATTATTTCTATAGTACTTGATGTCCTTTGAGTATTGTTATTACCTTGTCCATTTTCTAATAGATTAGGTGCAGTAGTATCGTCGATCTTTGGAGAAGCAATTTTTTCAACCGACATTTCGCCGCTTTCACTTATAGAAATTTCAATATTATGAGGAATCCATGAATGAGAATAGTACAAATGACTCGGAGGCGTTGAAATAGACGAATTAGTTGTAGCTATGGGAGGTGTAACAGGTGATAATGTCGACGTTTCTATTTAAAATATGATTAAAATAAATTAGAATATATTTTCATAAAATTATAATAGATTTTATTAGACGTTATTAGACTTTTTATTCTACCTGAATCTCGGCCAATATGTCTAAATCTACAACCAAGTCTGGTACAATTACTACCGTATCTGCATGGTTTCACAGTAATTGGAACAGGACTGGATGAAGGACTAGCTTCTTTACCGCTCAAAACCTTGCGGACAACGATGTCCATTTGATTTTGCCAAAAAGCTTTATCCTAAAATCATTTAATTCTTACACCAAATTCTATAATATAATAAAATCTATGGTTTATGTAATCTTGTTACGTTAATATAATGTTTTACCTGTTGTGTATCTAAGCCACAATTTAAGGCTAATATTTGAGGTAGCTTGGTCAATTGTCGTGATTGTAGAGTAGGCGTGAATTTCTGACATTCGTCGCACCACGCAGGTGTAATTTTTTCTGGTCTTAAACTTCGTCCAAGTATATTTGTAAATGGAATCTCTTCTGCTACAAGAAACAAAAATTTAGTTGTATATAATATATCATCTTAATGTATGAATTAACATAATTACAGGATAACATCTTACATGGATTAACTATCTCAGGGTATACTAAATTACATAATAACATGATAGAATGTTTAGTAGCTTCTTGTCCACATTTCAGACAACGATGTATATGCATTTGTTCAGAACCAAATAGTCGACTGATTTCCGTTTCCTCCTCTCGTACTTCATTTTCCTCAGGAGATTTTTTATTACCTTGATCAACTTGTAATTTAAAATAATACAAATCATTAGAGTATAAATATATTATTTATTAAACTACAAACTTACTCATTTACATTTGTGCAAAAGGCATAAACGTGCATTTTTGTAACATTGCGATCTATTAAAAATAAATTATATAAAAAGCACTCGAACAAACAATGCAATGCATTGCTGAACATCTAGAGCAATGTTAAGATAAGATTGCGGGTCAGACATATTATTGAAATATGTTTAATTAAAAAGCTTCAGATGCAATATCCAAAAAATGCAAGAGTACAAAAAGATCCTAAAAATTCTATCAAGATGGAAACTATAAAATAATAAAAATTTTTGTGCCACTGTGGTAGTAGTACATCATAAAACAAAATATAGTAGAATACCGTATGTTTCCAGTTGCCTCTTGTCATCTTTCGGATATAGCCCTGCAGCCTTCGAACAAGCCTGTTTAAAATATTTAATAGAGTTTGAAGGAATATCATAAAATATGAGCAAAAGTCAGGTTAGAACTCTATAATAAATAATTTATTCATTTTCAGATAAATTTTCTTTTTTTTTTTTTTTTTTTTTTTTTTTTTTTTTTTTTTTTCTTTATTAATGAATTATAAATTTCTTAATAAGTTTCTTTCTCAATTATTCATTTGATATTGTATGCTAACACAAGTTCTAACATATCTTTTTTTTGTATTTTATGGCTATATATAAAATTCTATTGAATATTTTAAGCAGAATATAAAACATGATTACATACAGGCTGAAAAATAAACACAAAAAGTGCCCAGTGCTAAGGATACACATGAATTGTGTTTACCTTTCGATGTTATCCACATATATTTACCATCCTCCTCTTGCTTTCTCCTTTTCTTCCTTTCTTTATCATGACTTTTATACCGGGAACCAAGATCCTGTAAAATGCTAGGAAAGTCTTGCTCATTATAGACAAACGGTGCACATTTAGGTCCCGACTTCAAACGTGCAGCTTCTTCTTCTTCTTGCTGGCGTTTTCTAGTTTCTAGAATTTCGTAGTGTATTTGATGAAGAATGAATCGATTCCAACTCTAAGACAAGATTTTAAAAAATTGTAAAAATCTTTTCATTACAATTAATTATAGATAAATATATATGTACAATATACATGTATATATATATATATATATATATATATATATATATATATATATACATATATATATATATATATACATATTATAGATAAATATATATGTACAATATACATGTATATATATATATATATATATATATATACATATATATATATATACATATATATATATATATATATATATATATATATATATATATATATATATATATTGATACTGATTAAATACCTGTATTAATCTGACTAAACTTGTTTTCCTTTTGGCTTCTGGATGTAAGTCACTTAAAATAAGGCCCAAAGCTGCTGCCTCTGGGACAGTTCTAAAAGCCCTGAGGAAGTTGGCTGCTTGACAAGGTAGTCCACGAGATGTATCCAACATGTGAAACAAGAATCCCAGTTCGCATGACAAGCAAAATTCTCTTTGGCATGAATGTGAAAGTAATGCAGTTCTTACAGGTTCACAATAATAAAGTAACTGTAATTATAATGACGTATTATTATATAATGGATATATATATATATACATTATATATATACATTATATATATAAATTATATATATATATAACTTATAATAAAAATATTTGAAATTATTTTTCACACTTACCTGTAACATCGCATTACAATAACTATTTGGAAGTGTAGCTTCAAGACCACAAAAATTTGTCCGATTGTACTGATCGAAATCAAATTCATCATAACCGATTCGTGAATATTTCACCTCAATTTTACGGTAACGCTTTGGTATTGCCACAAAAGTTCCGTCGTCTGTTTTAGCTCGTGAATCTGCCGCGAAAAGTTTCGTGACTACACCACGTCGTTTTTCCAAATTGTAAGGTATCTGTAAAAGAGGTATTATTTATTTTTATTCTAATAATGAATATATGGATAATTCTTTTTTTATAGTAAAAGTTGTATAATTTTGTTATAAGCTCTACATAAATTAATCAGAACTTTGTTAAAAAATAAATAATACCTATTCGGAATTCTTTGGGCGCGACTCAAGTAAGCAGCGCGATATTAATGCAAGGCTTATAAATATATTATTACAACTTTTTATTTCATTCAAATACAACTTCAATTATACATATATCAAGATAGCACAGTCTATGCATAAATGTAGTATTTATAATTAAGCGCAAAATATCAAAAAAATAAGCAGTGTGTGTAAACGCTTTGATTATAAACATAGTATTGTTATGCTAACTTGAAGACATAGAGGATTGTCATATTAATTGATGAAATTTAAGGGTTAATGTTATAATAAAGAAATACTATTCATCAACTCTTGTATGTTTTAAATTCTTTTAACTCTATCTTTTATAATTTAGAATGTTTTTTGAGGACACGTAAGATTATAATCTAACTTTAGGATATATATCATGATCTACAGCTTCTAAAGTGCATATTGTAGCATGCTAGGGAATCTCTTTTGCATCCTCCATCTCCAAATTACTTAATCAAATTTCTTTTCTTTTCTTTTTTTTTTTTTTAATTTATAGAGTTTCTCCTAAAATACTTTTTTTCATTACATATAACCCTGCAATTTCATCAAAACCCTTGGTACGGTCTTGTCTTCACTGTTTCAGTTGCTTGATTTAGGACAAATTTACAATTATTATTAATTGGCACTATATTGAAATTATAATATAAGTAAAAATTTACTTATTATTTTGTGCTTTTAATTTTGTTTTTAATAGTAATTGAAAAAAAACCCAATTTTGTTATTTAATAATTTCTTTTTACTGTGGTAATAGGCATTTAATATTGTAGTTTATTACTTTTAATTATTAAATGTAATTAAACATATAATAATCTGCATTAACGAGATCAATTAAGTGTTCAGTATATTTTTTAGTTATTCTGTAGTTCGTAAATTTATATAAATCTTTTTAAACCGAATAAAACATTATTTCAAAAATGAAATAGCAATTCCATATCATCATTTGGACAGTATGTTCTTAATGTATACAATACACCTCTTTATTTTATGCATTATCACACTAATTTACTAATTATCACACGAAATTACTAGAATATAATAGACTAGCTTATGAAAATATAATATCACGTTTTCTTAACAGTATTACATTCTACAGTTATCACGAAATATTATCAGTCTTAATAATATATCTTTTTTCTTTCTAAAAAATTAATATTTTAATTATATTGAGCTTCAATTTCTACATTGCAAATACAGCACAGAGATATTGCCCTTACATTGCTTTAAAATGGCAAGACTATACTGATATTGTTATTAAAGTAAAATCTTTAAGGCATTTGATAGTTACATAATTTCGCGATATTGTCCTTACAGCTAATTAAGTTAGCTGTATATCATGGATAGCAATACACGAAAAAAGTATCATTAGATTATATATTACTCTGATTATATTTATTCAGAATAATATTGCTTTCATATGAAGGACTTACGTTACCGTTTCAAAAATCAATCACGTAGTAAATATTGAAGTTCACTTAAAAGCATCAAAAAAATAATTCTGTTTGTATTATTATTTTATCTATGGCAGTAAATAATATATATATATATATATATATATATATATATATATATACATATATATATATATGTACATATATATGTATAATCATATCAAACCTTATAAATGAGATAACATTTGTTAACTCCTGAATTCAATTCAGAATATAAATAAGAGATCTTTTAGAGGATGCAAAGAGAAAAATATATGTTTTAAGGAAGTTTAAAAAGAGACGGAGGAGAATATTGTAGAAATTTTGGAGAATATTGTTTCCTCACTTGATTGCGTCGAAAAGCCTGAGGATTTGGCGCATAACCTATTGTTCCTTGCATCTTGATTGTGCGTAGAATTTCAGGATCAATTGAAGGAGTTTTCCTGCAGATTAATAAGCAGTACGGATTGTTTATTAAATTAAATATTATATTGTCATCTAAAATCTTAACATTTTCATAATTTAAAATAGATTTAATAAAAACAAGCATTTTCTAGAAGCAATATGACTATACCTGTAAATCTTCTTTAACAATTCTTCTGGCCAATCACTTAATAGTGGATGTTCAGTATACATCACAGGTATTGTACTGAATGGTGTAAGATCATCATCAAATGCAATAGGTTGAAGAGACTCAACAGGATCAGCAAATTCTGTAGGTCTGATCAAAGAAATGTTTTATTTATATTTTCATTATTTCAATTAATAAAATATATATATGTCATAATTACTAACCTAGAAAATGTATTAAACTGAGGTTCAGAAGTATTTGTAGACATTAAATGTATAGATCCTGCTGAATCTCCAAAACAAAGACATTGAGATGTAGATGATACGTCAAATGATAGTATCATCGCTCCATTAGTAGCAACCTATAAATTACATGCATGAACATATGTAAGCTTTATATATAAAATTATATAAAATAATAATCTAAAGTAAATTATATAATCATTCACCTGATATAAACATGTCAAAGGTGGTTGTACATTGGCATAGATTGTATCAAGCAATTGCATTTGTCCTAAAGGAGAAACAACGGCAAGTCGGCTGGAATAGCTTGGGAGAAATTTTAATAGAAGAGGATACACCAGCGTTGTAACAGGACTTAAAGCTCGCATTTGTCTTAAGTCATACGCCATCAAAAATCGATCTACCGTTAGACCTTGACGACTATAGATATTACAAAATATAAATAAATTAAAAACATTTAAATAATCCCTTATAAAAATACAAATTTATCAATTAATGATTACTATTTTTACCTATTACTGAAACCACATGTAACAAGATAATTTCCCTGAACATCAAAATCGCTAAGGGAACCACTATGAGTATCAAAAGTATGTTCTATAGACAATGTATTTGGATCCCTGAGATCAATTCTTCCTGCTGGATTACCAGCACATATAAGTCTATTATGCTGCCTTAATATTGCACAACCGTTTTCTCCGACGTGAACCTAAAAATAAGAAACATTTATAATTGTCAGTATAAACTTGATTTATAAATAAATCAGAACATCTTACTAATCCAGTTTCCTTCCCTCTAGTAAGATTAAAATCAATTAATTTTTCTTGATGTCCACCCATTAACATTCTAGTTGGAGAAATTTGAAGCATACACTGCATATCTACCATGTTTGATGATCTATAATTTTATAATCTTTATAACATAAAAGTATAAAGTTATCTTATATATAAATATATGTCTACATACGTATGTGTAAATATTGGTATGCCACGTCTTAATTGATATCGCAATATGCTTTGAGTAAGCACCAGAATGCCCTCATCTAAAGGATGGATTTGGCGCACCTCCTGTGTTGCATGTACTTGAAAGGATGTATATTTTTGTACACCAGATCCATAATAAGATGTTACGTGACCCTATAAAATATATAATCATATCAATAGAAAATAAATAAAGTTTAAAATATATTTGAAAACATTGTTATTGATTAACGTTAAGAAGTTATTTAAAATTTGAATACCCCTTGATTTCCCATCCACATAAGTTCTTCGATGGTATCGAAAGTGGCAGTAGAAACACCAAACCTATCTCCACCATCTGCGAGCAATGTTCGAGTTTCATGAAATTCAGCTCCTATAAACTCATCTCCAAATTGTTCCGAAGCAGGTACATACTCATCGCCAGGTAAAACATAATTAGAATCTCCCCCTAAAAAGTAAAACTAAAAGTCATAAACAAACTAAAAAGAAAAAAAAAAAAAAAAAAAAGAAAAAAAAAAGAAAAGAAAAGAAAAGAAAGAAATATTGAATCTTTTCAATTTTACCGTACGGGAAATCTTATTGTATGTAATTTTACAAAGAAAAAAAAAATATGAAATAAATACACTTCAAAGTCCATGTTTTACACAACTCTATGCGTAAGCTATTAACCTAAATAAACACTACAAACATGATATACACGAATGTGTCATTGATGACGTGAAAAACGATTGTAAAAAAAAAAAAGAAAAATACAAAAAAAATTAGTCGTACGTAGAGTCTACGAAAATAAAGTTATATTTGGCGGGATTGATAGGAACAAATGAACGATCTCGTCACATGGAGCTAAAAATTTGGCGCCTTTTCTAAGCTTTCACATATTGAGCGATATATACGCATATACATACATAGGTCATATAACGTATATAAGCTTCGCTGTCACGGTACAGTTTTCGCGCGTTTTTTTTTCTTTTTTTTTTCTTTGTTTTTTCTTAACGTTTTCTCAATTAACCTTGACACCGAATAAAAATAAAAAAGAATCGCAGATAGAATTTAAGATGTTAGAAAACTCACAAAGTAGTTCTTGCTCGTCTCCGCCACTACCGGCTGTCTCATCCGTTACGGACGGGTCGTAGTGACTTAAAACCGGATAGTCCATGATCTCTCTCTCCCCCCCCCTTGCTCCACCTCTTTTTCTTTCTTTTTTCTCTTCAGGTCGATCGATTTAGGAACATTGAATCATCATCGAAGAGACTGGAAAATCTACGTCTCGACGATCGACGTCGGTCCACTCTCATAGCACACTTTTTATAACACGCACGTACGCATGTAAATGGTACCCTTCCTTTAATCGCCTAAGCAACTGCGTGCAACAAGCGAAACTTTTTACCTCACTAATAAAAAATCTTATTTTTTTATTTTATAATCGAGGAACACGAAGTCTTGTTCTTAAACGTTCTTCGCATTCTACTCTTCTTTTTTTTTCCCCTCTTATTTACCACAATGCACGATAATCCGAACGATAATCTTTTGCCGCGATACCTTTAATTCATGATTCCGCTTTTCTACGTTTCTTCTCTTCGTCTGACGACGGCAACTACAACGACGACGACGGACTCAACGACGGCGACGACGTGAAATGGCCTTGAAACCGGCGCCATCTGTCATCGCTCAAAAACGCACGTACGCGTTTTCTCTTACCGATGTGAAGTTACCGATAGAAGGGACTTTTGAAATCTAACGCGCGAAAATAGTTTTCACTAACGAACTCATGACTTTTTTTTTTTTTTTATATTTACTTTACACCTTTCTATATTATCTCAAGATAACACAATATACGTTGTTTAACTTCTTTTTATCGTATGTGCTCTTAATCCCGTGTATCGGAACGGAAGGGGGGATTAAGATAAGATTATTGACTTATTATTATCCGATATATTGGAAATTTTTTTTTTCCTTTTTACACTATTAAGATCAGTCTTTGATATACTTAAAGACTGAAAATAAAATATCAGAAAAATCAGTGAAGCGTACGGCGTAAACAAAAATTTTCATAGAACACTTATGTTCATGTGTGTATGTATATATATATTATATATATATATATATATATATATATATATATATATATTTCGTAAACTATAATTAACATTTTATATATCACATGAAGAACAACGAAGATCACAGGATTAGACGGTCCAAGTATCTCCTAACGGAGGGATATAACGATTGTTCTTTCTCTTTCTTTTTCTTAATATTACCAAAATATTTCCTAATTCGTTAGTTCTCGAAAATATATCTTTTTTTTTTTTTATATCTCAGTGCTCCCTCTTACACATACATATTTATATCCTTTCGTCAAGTAAGATTACATTATTTCAAATTGAACTGTAAACAATTCGTTTCTTGGCGTTAAACTTCATCGAAATGTTTTAGCAATATAGTTTTAGTATAGTTTATAATAGTTTTAGCAATATACGTAATTTATCTGCTAAAAATGTAACGCCATAATTAACTATGAAATAAAATGAAAGGAAAAGGGAATATAAAGTGTTTTCTTTTTAACATAGACACAATAATAAATTATCTTACGCAATCAGTAGATTAAAATAATTAAAAATTTCATTCGGAGTAAGTACGGACGTAAATAAGTAATTCCTTTTATACGTATATTTTACATAGTTTCAGATGCAAACGGCAGTCAGATTCTTCCCAATGATATTTTTCTCGTAAAAGTTCGTCTCCATGGATGGGCCTTAATAATGTTCAAAACGTATAAATATATATATATATATATATATATATACACATATATATATATTGTATATACATATATATATTTATGTATACAGTTTGGATTTGATAAACGGTCCTGGATATGATCGTTGTGCGTCGTGCATAAAAGACCTGTTAAAGTATCGGAAATTAAAATAAATCGAAAAGATAAGCTCCGTTAGGATGGAATCAGGCATCAACTTTTAAAACGATGACTCTTTGCAAGAACGTTCATCAATCGATATACGTCGAGATAAGATGGACATGGATTCCGTAGCTCCTTTGAATGCACTTTACCTTAATGGCGACGGATCAAACGTGTACGATGATGAAGAGCGGTGATAAGTACTCCGATTTCTTCCTCGGACTCAGCCGATTGACGTCGTGACATTCGTATATTTGGCGTGCCAGTGGCCGATGGAACCGATCGTTTATTGTTAGCCTGTTGCGTTGGAAAGGAAGAACGTCGAATAAGCGGGGCCGGTCGCTCACCTATAAAACGAATCGGTAATCGCATTTTATTTTACAGTTAACTAAAATGATTTTAATTATTTAAATGAATATTTTCATACCCAAGAGACGCAAAGAAGATCGATGCATTCCTAACAATTCGAACGATCTTTGACTCTTCATTGGTTCTCTTGGAAAGAAGCGCCTTTGAATCGGAAGATCAATGGTGGAGCTTTTTCTTGATACGACGTTACCTCTCGACGAAGTATCCTTATTCTTTTGTTAAAGATATGCGACCTTTTAGACGTTTACTCTGATTTTAACATCGAGGAAGAAAGAAGATAAAGTTTTTTTTCAACATTGTGAGACGAGCTAGATTTTAATGATTATTAAAAGTAATATGTTATATATGTTTAAAAGTAGATAGAGAAGAAGATGATGAAGATTGATAAAGAGAAAGATAATACCTTGTCTTTAGAGAATCTAATCCGAAGTACTTCGACCAAAGCTGCGATCGCTGAAACGAGAAGCATCGTCACGAGTATATGCCCTGCAACTGGAATCGATTTCATTCGACGAGATCTATTTTGAAATTAATTATTTTATTATATTTTTATTCATATTCTCACCGACGATTTCCTTCGATTCCTGTAACTCTTCTTCTTCACCGTTCTCCACCTGTTCTTTCTCCACAATCTTATCTTCCTTCTCCTTCTCTTCCACTTTCTTATTCACCTTTAATAACACCTCGTTGATCGGCTCAAACGAATCATTCGTCGTTTCTTCTTCTTCCACTTTCGTTAGAACTTTTACGTACGTACAATTCTGATCGTAATCGCTGTAAAAGATCGATCTTATCTGATTCTCGTAACGATGTCTTCTGCACCGTTTTAATTTTCGATAATCGATCAATGATTCTAATATCTCCTTGTTCTTCGCCTCAGCCGACAATATACCGGTATCGTTTTCACTCTCGTTTTGATGATTTTGAGCATCGTAATTCGTATTCAAGAGTAATTTTAACGGTAGAGACAATAAAATACCGAATATCGTGAGAATCAGAAGGATACTAACATTGATGCCCAATGATAAACGTTTCTCCGTCATCCTGACGAAATGTTAAAAATTTATCTTCGACGGATATATCGTTCCACCATTAATAAACAATTCCATTTTACATTATTCAAAACGGTACAATATGCGACATAATTTGCACCATTTCATAATGATATCCGTTTGCGTTTGATCACTCGAGGTTAATGAATTTGTCAATGATCATTTCTCTTCGAATTTTTTTTTCATTTTTTGATCACATTGTCGATCGTTCGTAAATACACAACAGAGAAAGAGAGAGAGAGAGAGAGAGAGAGAGAGAGAGAGAGAGAGAGAGAGAGAGAGAGAGAGAGAGAGAGAGAGCGAGAAAGAAAGACAGAAAGAGAAAGAGGGAGAGAGAGAGAGAGAGAGAGAAAAAGAAAGAGAAAGAATAACACTGGACTATACTTTTTAGTCGTTATCGGTCAAATGTACGACGGCTCAATGGATTTCTACCTCAACCATCTCTCCTTCTTTCCTTATTGAGACGCAACTGTTGCGCATTATGTTGTCGCTGCAGTTAGAAGCGGACCTGGATGTCGGCTGATATTGATTTCCAGGTAGGCTGAGCTACTAGAGCGCAAGTCCTCGACAACGAAGGGGGGAGAAATGTACTATGTACCTAAGTACGCAACTCCTGTAAACCGTTTTGTGCTTATGCACGACAAAAGGTTGCATCTACACGGTGCAATGAACACGTTCAAGGACGATGAAGAACGAGATCATCTCTATGATCGTCTCTTGAAAGATAGAAAAAGAGAGAGAAAGAGAGAGAGAGAGAGAAAGAGAGAGAGAGAGAGAGAGATAAAGAGACAGAAAGAAAGAAAAAGAGAGAAAGAGAGAAACTCCTAGATATTATTATCTAAAACTTATAATTGGTTTCACTTAAAACACTAAGATTTAGATTTAATCAAATTGTACAAGCAATAGCAGATAAAAAAAAAAAAGAAGAAAAGAAGAAATAATCGATTAGATAAAACAGATAGCGATATTATCGACTACGATGATATCGCATTCAGCAAAATCATAAGTTGGACTTTAAGGAGATGGCAAGTAAGGATGTTTCGAGATCCGAGTTAAGTCGTCGGCTCTCTTATCGTCAGATTTCTTATTCAGACGTACGGTAAGAAGGTGGAACAACGCTTTCGCGAACGATCTCCCGCGTGGCCGCATGCATATATAAATAATATTAGACAATATCAAATGAAAGTTCGCATCTTTTCGCTGGTCAACAATGGACCGTAATACAGCAACAAAGGAAACGCCCGCGATGGTGGCAGCGGTACGCCTCGGCGGCATTTATAAAAGTAATAAAACGGTCCAACGACGACTCTTGGGAGTAGTAGCGGCCGTCGAAAGATAGAAGGAGAGGGGTGGGGAGTAGATGGGGAGATGGGGAGATGGGGAGAGGGGGAGAGGGAAGAGGAGAGAGAAAAGAAGAGGACGAGAGGGGGGAAGGGAAGGGACAGGAAAAGAGAGCAAAAGGGAGAGATGAAACACAGGAGAACAGCGACCCGACCCGACCGACCGGTAGCTCAGCCAGCACACGTATATCTTGCTCTGCTACACCGCACTCTGATTCTTCGAGGTTCTCATTGATGGTTTTACCTCATTGTTATATCGTTCTTCTAACGGAAAAAAAACAAAAAAAAAAAAAACAAAACAAAAAAAATATTTTTATACCCTGTGTCGCAAAGTACATTGGTCATCGAGTTAGTGGAAGCGGTAAACGGGGATAAAAGATAAGAGGATAACGTCCAATTAAAGGAACCTGTCAGGGAATATCGCATTTTTATCATGGTCACATCCATTAACGGGCTTACGAGAGGCTAGGGTGATCGTTGAAGGATCATGGAAGCTATCTGAAAGAGCGTTCGTTCTCGTTTCGTCGTTTTCCCTTCTTATAGCAGGAGAGGTAATATCGGTAATACTCGGTGGGAGAAAAAGAAGTAGAGAGGGAGAGAGGAAGGGAGAGAAAGAGAAAAAGAAAGAGAGAGAAAGAGAGAGAGAGAGAGAGAGTTATAGTCGAGATGCGGGTACCACTGACGATGTCGTGTCTCTTCTCACGGTATGCTTCAAATAAAAGTTTAAGAAAAAGCAGAAGAAGAAGAAGAAGAAGAAGAAGAAGAAGAAGGAGAAGAAGAAGAAGAAGAAGAAGGAGAAGAAGAAGAAGAGGTAGGTTGAGAGCCAGGGTATGTAGAGCAGATGCTGTGGCCATGGCAGTGGTAGCGGGGTGCGTGATTTTTCACCGCCGACAGCTCCTCCTTCGAGAACCCGCGCATTCCACCTCCCTTCTCCTTCGCCTCTGGCTCAGCTTCTTCTTCTTTTTCTTCTTCTTCTTCTTCGGCCCCTTCATCCTTCACTCTTCGTTCCCATCCACATAAGTGTCTCTCTCTCTCTCTCTCTCTCTCTCTCTCTCTCTCTCTCTCTCTCTCTCTCTCTCTCTCTCTCTCTCTCTCTCTCTTTCTCTCTTAGTAGCGAACGTTGGCCAACGTATGCCTTGGACACGCCACTGGACACCAGTTGCACGATCTTAGATTTGCTGATCTCGCATATCTCGGGTTCACGTATGGATACGCACATACACACGTATCTCAGCGAACGCATACATGTGCATATAACGACGAGAGCGACGCGCCACGCGAAGAGCCGCGCCCGCGACGCATCCTCATCTTCTTCTTCTTCTTCTTCTTCTTCGTCTTATTCATCTTCTTCTTCTTCTTCTTCTTCTTCTTCTTCTTCTTCTTCTCCATCGTGTCATCGTCTTTTTCTCTTCTTCGTTTATACGCAAATACGTGTAAGTACCTGGCGCGTGTACTCGACTTCTATCCTTCTTCGATGCTTCACCGAAGAATCCTGCGTACGCGATTATTTTGGATGCCTCTCATAATCTTATCGTTTTTGTTTTTTTTTTTCTTCTCTTTTTTCTTTCTCTTTTATAAGTACATCTCCTCCTTAGTTGATTGATGAATGATCGCAAGCCAAATAAATTTCATAATTTATCGTGGCTACCAATGGAGTAATTTACTATAGGATAAGACATATCGATAATGTCCACGAATAGTTGAAGATGTTTTACGAGAATTTATTATGATTTTATAATCACCCAAGCGTGAAGCGATAAAAGATACTAGACAGACGGGAGGATCGATCTATTAAATTTCTTCAAGGGAAATCAAACGATGCAAATATCTATCCATGGCGAATCGCGTATAACGTATGAAACGCATTTAAGTGCCCCTTATTCAGTGCATCCATCGTTGCTGGTTTGTCGAGAAAGACGACTATCCATTGAAATGTAAGACTTAGTTATCCTACAAATAGTTGCATACCTAAGATAAAACGTTAGGAGCAAAGAATTAAATGAATGTTCGTACTCGGAAAGCATTTGGTAAAATACGAGCATTTTATATTTTATTATTATTACCATTACTCTTGCGTTATACTATTGCGTATTACTACTCTTAGAGAAAAAAAAAAAAGAAAAAAAACATTATTTTTCGTATTACTTACCATGTTCAAGATTGCACTTACGAAAGAGTAAAGAGGATCTTGGATTGTGGAATGCAGAGATCGTTTAGATCCCCATTGATCAAAGTGATATTTTCGCCCGTAATGTTTTTTGAAAGCCCAGCCAAGAAGCTAAGAGAGTCGCGAAGAGTCACGCCTGAGGTAAAATTCGCGAGGTATCGCAATTACGCAAATTGCTCCCCTGTTCTCGCCAACCTCCGGGCTTTTACCGTCCTCGGAAGTGCATCGAAGACGGAGAATCCATGTGCAGTCTTGTATCTACCTCTTCGCTTAAAATTAATGCAATTTAAAAGCATTAACCAATTTCAAACAAAAGAATATCATTGAAATATTTTCGATAAAATTAAATAAAATGTGTATCTTGAAAAGAAAAAAACAAAATAAATAAATTAAAAGAAAGAGCAATAAAATCCTGATTTATATCGTGAAACTAATCGTCATGATTAATCAACTAATAAATTTATTTTTATAATATATATATTTGAATTATGTATATATATATATATATATATATATATATATATATATATATATAGTTACATAAATATATAGATGCATGTGTATATAAAGACAATGTATGTACGAGTTATATACATACGTTGGGTGGCATAGCAAGTAATCGGTAAAAACGGCGTTGTTATGCCAGAATCCTTCGAGTTCTGTTTCGATTCCGCGACCGGCCACGTAGTGTCACGAATGTTTTTGCTCGTTCTTGGATACTCGCACGACAGTATCGCTAATGGTAGCCGACAGAAAATCCATTAGGTCGTATCGACGTTACTAGAGGAATTTCCAATGGTTCGTACATGTCGTCGGTGCAAATCGAGAAAACGTTGTCTCCCTAAGTACCAACAGTTTCGAGTCTTTTTTCTTTTTCTTATTCACCGCAAACCTAAGAAAGTCCCTTTGAAAAAGAGACATAGAGAAAGAGAGAGAGAGAGAGAGAGAGAGAGAGAGAGAGAGAGACAGAAACAAGGACGTTGAGAGAATTTTTATTCAACGTTCGTTACATTCGCTTGGAGCGTTCGTGGCACGTTAATCGCGCGACATTCAACTTCGAGAATCACGAAACGACTTGGAATTAACACGGGACACGTTTTGCGATCGACAAAAACACCATTGAAACGTCGATTTTGGATCGGTATAGAATGCACGAGGTCGTTGTAAATCCCATACCGTTGATGGCTATTAACGATCGCTACGAGCGTGTGTCACGGAGGAAGAAAAAAGAAAAAGAAAAAGAAAAAAGAGCACCGGAAAGTTTCGTCCGAAAAGCGATAAATAACGGCTCGCTACTGGTGCGTTGCTCCCTTTTCGATAAAAGCTCGTAAATCTTTGGTAGCGTTACGCGAGGCATCCCAGAACATAAACTTTTTACGCTTACGGTTCAGCGGACTTTAAGCGATCGTCAGGTGGTTCGCGTATTAAAAAGTTTTATGTTTCAGCTACCGTTGGAAGAGAGAAAGAGAAAGAGGGAGAGAAAGAAAGAGAGAGAGAAAGAGAGAGAGAGAGAGAGAGAGAGAGAGAGAGAAAAGAGACTAAAAAGAGGGAATACTCTTTTTCTTTCTGCGCATACAAATGAGCACCCGTCATAAAGAATAAGAAAATTTTCTAAGCGCTATATTCACCGATTTTTCTTCCCCTTGATGACTTTTTTTGGTCACGTGATACGACCGATAGAGGTAAAGGTAAAAGTTGTAACGATCGGACTCGGGATATTAACGTCGTCGGGCGCATAACGCCGCACATTTATTTCTCTATCGGCGGCATCCGTTCGAAGAGCCGGCAGAAAGGATGGAAGGAAATTTACGCAGAGCTGATAATTAGCGAGCCGAATCGGGTTGTCGGGGTGGAGGATACCGCGGCCGAGCGAATGAACGAGCGAGAACGCGAGCGCGCGCGCAGTAATCGCCGTAATTTATACCCGGCTACCTTCGGATATAGGCTCGTTGAGATAGGCCAGGAGCGTAAAAATGGTGCGCACGGCGAAAATGTCGCCCAATTAACGGCGAATTGGAGCGGCCGAGGTCGCGAGTATATGTTCGAAGAAGAAGAAGAAGAAGAAGAAGAAGGAAAAGAAGAAGAAGAAGAAGAAGAAGAAGAAGAAGAAGAAGAAGAAAAAGAAGAAGAAGAAGAGGATGAAGAAAAGGAGAAGGAGAAAGAGAGAAAAGAAGAGAAAGGTATACGCTTAACGACTCGATCGCGTAAAAGCCGCCGCCGCACCATTAGTGAACAACTACGAGTCGAATAAACCGCGCGCGGGCTTTTTGAATCGAACGAACAGCAACACCGGTCCATACCTTTCCTTCTCGTTTTCCTCTTTCGAACTTCGAGACACCTTTACGATTTTATTATCGGCCTTTTACGCCTTGGTTTTTTGCGAATACTAGAGATATATGTACGTCCGTATATGTACGTTTACATGTACGTTGGAATTTAAAATGGAATATCTGAAAGTATGTACATATGTATATATATATATATATATATATATATATATATATATATATTTTCTTTCATGATAAAGGTAAAATAATAATTTTTTTTTAACAATAATTAAATTACAGAGAAAACTTTCGTCGATTTTGTTGTCGTTATTATTTTTCTTTTTTTTAATTTGATGATAAGAGATTAAGTGTTATTCTCTTTCTCTCTTTCTCTCTCTCTCTCTCTCTCTCTCTCTCTCTGTCTCTTTCTTCGAGCAAGCTTCTTCGCGTGCATATCCACTCTTAAAAAGTCTTCTTCTCTCTGTATGACACTTATAACTTCCATCTCTCTCTCTCTCTCTCTCTCTCTCTTTCTCTCTTTCTCTCTCTTTATCTGTCTTTCTGTGTATTATATTTATATGATACTTTGCGCGATATTTTCTATTAATAACTATCATCAAATATATCACACTAAGCTAACTTTGTTATGCCGATAGAAAAATACGTGATAAAATTGATCAATTTTGCGATAACTTTGTCTGGCTGATTAATCTGACAAAAATATAACTTTTTAATGATATTAAAACAGCATTCTCATTAGAATGAAATGTTATCTTATGATAACTATTAAAGATTATATAGTGTCATTTCTTTGACCAATAGAATTGTAATTTGTTCTTTTGTCGATAAGGAAACAACCGTGAGAGAAAATTTATATATAGATATATATATATATATATTATATATATGTATATATGTATATGAAGTGGTAATGTTTAAAATTCTACGACAGCCTAAGCTTATCGAGCGTATCTAATCTCTTCATTGAATTTACAATTAGCCGAACGAGCTGATCGAGCGAAATAGCGCGTACGTAGTATCGCGTCCGCTTTTATCGACAACGAGGACGGTTGATGGATGATCTTATGTTAATTATACATATGCAAAGCGATTATGCTCGTCCATGATAGATGATGGTTAATTGTGATCGAAGATGGCTCAGTAGAATTAATTATTGATTTAGACGTAAACCAATGGTAATTAACATTTTATGAATGAATTTCCACGAAGATATTCAAGTTGTTCTTAATTAAACACATCGTGATTATGAATCGACTAAAATGGAAGGGATTATATTTTTATGACTCTGTTTCTTTCTCTCTCTCTCTCTCTCTCTCTCTCTCTCTCTCTCTCTTTCTCTTTCTCTTTCTTTTTCTCTTTCTCTTTCTCTTTCTCTTTTCGTGCGATCTTTACGAGTTCGCTCGTTGAAAATGCTAAATAATAAAGCCGTAACGTAGCGAGACGTTATTGGTCAATGCTCGGCGACGACGTATCGTAAATTACATCCGTATTATCATATGTACTTTTACGACGATCTGTTACGGAATATAAAAACGACGTACACTTAAAAAGAATCGATTATTAAAGCCCCTTATACTTCTCCGTTATATCGTCTTGTAAATCAAAAACGTAACGACTTTACGTTCATATAGTGAGAATAAAAAAAAAAAGGAGATAGGATAAGCTGACTTTATTAAAAATGAGAGACAAGAACGGTGCTCTGATCTAACGAAAAAGCAATTAAATTTTTCTATCTCTTTCTCTCTCTCTCTCTCTCTCTCTCTTTCTCTCTCTCTCGCTCTCTCTCTTCATTTCCTTTTAAAACGTCGAGCAATAAAATCTTGGTCATTAATACAATTCGTTTACTTCTCCGTCGTACTTGTCACGAAGTTCATTCAAATCGTTATCTCCGAGCATGAGCGAGCCGACATTTAACAAATCGTACCGGTTGGATGAGCGATTAAAGTATACTACGCGTTTGCACGTACATATTATATTCTTTTAAAAGTCCTTCGAAGTTAAAACAAAGAAAGGAAAAAAAAACAAAAAAGAGAGAGAGAGAGAGAGAGAGAGAGAACAAGGAAAAAGTTAAAGAAGAAGAAGAAAAAAAAAGTGGGGGGAGAAAAAATAATAAAAGAATTGTTACTCGCAGAAACAATAATTTCTCATACGTTAATGTATTACTTGAAACGTTCTACTGATTTCTTAGAAAGTAATTTTTCAACGTAATAAATCTCGTTTAGGTGTAAGAAAAATATATTGAGATTTTTATTTTAAATTAGGATAAAAACAATTTCTAAGAGTTATCATATCCACTATGGCAAACCTTTTCGAATAGAGTATTACTTAGTTAGCTAGGACTTACCGATCGATCTATCAGCAAGATCATTCGAAATACGTTAAACCTGGAAGTCGTTTCTCCTAAGATTCCGCATGGCTGCCCATAGTTATGCCACTACCACTAAGGATCGATCTCCACCGACCACCACCACCACCACCACCATCACCATCAATGTGTCCGGCTCGTGCGTCGGTATGCCTAACTACCGCGATACACCCGGCACGAACCGTTTTTATTCAACATACACCGCGTTCCTGACACGACAATCGGTGTT